TGCCTGTCATTTGAGTAGTGATCATACTTTTAATTACAAAGTATATTTACAGAAACCACTGAAAAATAGCTTTGAGAGTGGATGTACTCTCTAAATGTAATATCAAGAAGGAAATTAATCAAGAACTGAAATTTGCTTCTAATAATGGGTGGGATTTTCTTCTCTTTTCTTTCTTTCTTTTTTTTTTTTTATTTCAACACAGCTTCACTTTTACCTGAAATGGCTGGGAAAAAAATTGCTATTGAAAAGGTTTGTGGTTAAGGAAACCAAGGTAATAAGATAGGAAGGTCTGGATAAAAATAAAACAGTTTCAGGTTTAGGAGAAAATTAAAAACAATGATGAAGAAATTAGCTTCTAGGAATTTCCTGGTGATATAAGAGAGTGGAATTTTGCTGGGCACCTGTGGCTCACGCTTGGAATTCTAGCTACTCAGGAGGCAGAGATCAGGAGGATCCTGATTCAAAGCCAGCCTGGGCAAATAGTTTACGAGACCCTATCTTGAAAAAGCCCATCACAAAAAAAGGACTGGTGGAGTGGCTTAAGACGTAGACTAGTAATACACACACACACACACACACACAAGTGAAATTTCAATGTAGTGATAAGAATAAGACATATCGAAGTGAAGAATGAATGTAGAAATAGAGATGACAGTGACAAGCTAGCCATTTGAGAATAAATAGTAAAAGAATGTAGAAAGCACATGACTGACTTCTCTGGATTATTAGGATCAAATGAAAGAGATGAGATTTCCCCCCTAAGCTAATGTTTTCCTTAATGCACTTTCCTGTTAATCCTTCATCCCTCCAACCTGTTCCAGAAATTACCTTGTATGCAAATAGTAGAAAGCATTTTATAACTACTAACATAGTTACAGAAAGGGGTCCATCTAAAACTTAGATATAGACTGACGTGCTCCTAACTTGCGTTAATTTTCATGGTGATAAGAACCTATGGTCACCTGAACACACTAAAAGAATAACTGATATATTAGAAATTTGACTCGGAAAGTGTAAATAAATGTGGCTTTACAGAATAGTGCTGAATTGGTATTCATTTAATAATTTCTAAATAAATTTTAGAGGAAATGAACATTTTTTGTTTTTAATATTATCACCTAAAAGAAATACTAATCTTGAAAACATTTTTTAGAGTATGGTTGTAATATTAATTACTCATTTTAATCTATCATCTGATCATTGTAAACATATGAAGATATGATTGGTAATTTTGTCAACAGCTGTTGATAAAAGGAAAGCATAGTATATTTGGTCTGGATATACAAACAAAAATTGCCCATATTCCTGTGTAATGTAGACAACTGTTAGAATTCTTCTATGTTCCCTTCCTGTTTTCAGTCATATATATTCAGGGTATTATCCCCTGAAGGGAAAAGGAATTATTTTCTTATGTTTCCACTTAGCTCGAAGCACTAGTGGATAGATTTTAAACAACTTTAATTTTCTATTGGATAGGTATACCATTATTTACATTTCCTATTTCTCTCACTGCCAGATATTTAAGTAGTTTCCAAATTTTTCTGTTGAAAAATAACACTGTTTTGAATTTCAGTGATCTATAGATTTTTATTTTTTTTAACTTCTTGTAAGATAAATTCCCAGAAATAGGTTTACTTGGTCAAAGGGAATGAATCATATATTAGTTAATAAGCGATATTATGCAAATTGCATAGCCTCACACAGCTAGAGAATGACAGCTGGGATTAAGACCTAGCACTCATTGTATACTAAATGCCATGTTCTTGACCAATGGATTCCCAATCCCATGTCACTGATCTAGATCATAATTTGCATTCAGAGTTCATCTCTGAAAATTTTAACGTGAGTTGGATATATATCTGGTAGTGTGCTAGGGATTCAAGACCAAAAAAAAGCTAAGATATAGGCCCAGCTTAGAAGCCTATAAACCAAGTGGAAGAAGGTAACAGACACATAAGAAAATAACTATGATGAAGTGAAATAAATTATATAATTAAGATGCTGCATGAGGACAAAGAAGAAAGTGGCCAATTCAACTGGGAGGAGCCTAGTTTAAAGAAATTTCTAAATAGGGTTGAATCTGCTTAGATGGTCTGGTCAGTTCCTGGGAATCCAAATAGAACAACAAGCCCTGGTGAGAACTGTGGGTGTCAGAAGTCCATAAAGGCTATGTGGAACTGTAGGAAGAAAATAGGCATGTAGAGAAAGTCTGAGCAAATTCACTGAAATTTGAGATCTAGTATCCTCAAGATGAGCTCTGGAAGTTAATTATGACTGATAAGAGATTTACCTTCCAGGTACTTAGCTACAAAGGAGTAGATGAGACTTCAGATCATGGACATACTCCCTAAATTATTAGTTAAAACCCAGTGTTTCCTCTCCTTTTAAATTCTGAAGGGTGGGAACTCAAGATCTTTCCCTAGGAGAATTTGTTTATACTTAGGAAATGGTTCCACCCCTTCCCCCAATCTCCAGAGGAAAGGTGATCATCAATACAAATCTCACTGTTTAACCTCCTAGATTGTTATCTTCAGGATACCTTGCTGTATTAGTATGTCAGTCAGTTTTTGTTTTTGTTTTTTTGTCACTGTGACAAACACCAAAGAGAAATGATTTAAAAGAAGGAAAGATTTATTTTGGCTTACAGTTTTAGAGATTTTATTCCATGCTTAGCTGGCTCCATTGTTTTGGGCCTGAGGTGAAGCAGAACATTATGACAGAGAGGGTATGATGATGAAGCAAAGCTGCTCTGCAGAGAGACAAGGACACTTCCAAACCATATTGTTACCCAAACCATAACAATTAGTTTCCCATTGGCTGCTGTCACAAATTACTACAAATGCAATGATTTAGAATAATATAAATTTGTTAACTTACAGTTTTGGAGATCACAGTAGTTCTAGTGCACTAAACTCTAGGTGTTAGTAGAGCTACTTTCCTATTGGCAGCTCTAGTACTTTTGTTTGTTTGTTTGTTTATGGCCCTTTTCTCCAACTTTAAACCCAGAAGCATAGCAGCTTCTGATCTCTCTCTTTAAAGGACCCTTGATTAAACTGGCCAGCTAGATAATCCAGTATAACTTCCACATCTTAAAATCCTTATTTAAGTAAGGTAAATAATCACATGTTCTAGAGATTATGGAGTGGATATCTTGAGAGTGGAGGCATTATTCTGCCTACCACACTTGCCTACGGGGCAGAGCCTAGTAAATGCAGGGTGACATCTGATCATTTGTGCCATTGGGAAAAGTGGAATGTGAGGAACTGGTGTGATTATTACAAGTTAGTGGTAATAGTTTATTCCTGGTCTAGAGAACTTGTATTTGCTTCCAGGACAGTTCTTACAAATGTAGATGCTAAAAACCTAACAAACTAGATTTGAAAAACTGTGCTGCTGATCATTGTAGAGTCTTGAATTAGGAACTGAAGAGATCTAAAATGATTCTAAAGCAAAGGGACCTTTGTTATTAGACTAGAGTTCTTCCTCACAGCTTTCTAGCTTGCCTAATTCCTTCAAATGGAATAGTTTGTGCTAGTACCTTTATGTTTTCTTTCTGTCAGAGGCATGTGTTTTAAGCTAAGTCATCTTAAAAGCAACCGAAATGTAACTAGGATTTAAGGTTTAGCTCTCTTCCCTTCCCTTTGCCATTCTCGCCTTGGCTATAGGAATCCTAATGATCTCAGACCTACCTCTATATTGGTGACATTTATCTTCACACTTGTATGCCCATTTCATAGTATATTTATAGACTACTCTTAGACAAGTTCTTACTATGGTAGGACTCAGGTTGGCCCCAAACTCACAGTCCTCCTGCCTTAGCCTCCTGAGTGCAGGGGTTGTAGGTGTATACCAGCACACCCAGCCTTTTAAAACAGTTTTCAGTATCCTAGTATAACTACTCAACTATATTGAGTAGCTCAACTCTTTATCTTGAAACTTTAACTTACGAATTTATTAGGAGGTAGGCTCAACTCTTAGATCTGGATTTGGCCATATTTAAGGCAGTTCATTTAGATATGTCTTTGTTAAAAGCTACCAGCATGAAATTAGATCTTGGTCTTTTAGAAGTAAATACAAATGAATTCTCAGGAAATTTTGTACTGTGTGCTAGGGTTTGAATGTTTGTGCCCCTCCAAAAATCATATATTTAAAATCCTAATCACCAAGTTTATTAAGAAATGGGCCCTTTGGGAGGTCATGTGATTGGATCCTTCATGCAAGGGATTAGTGCCCTTATAAAATAGGCCCCAGAAAGCTGCTTTGCCCCTCCTACCATATGCAAACACAGCAGAGAGACTTCTCTGAAGAGCAGGCTCTCAGCAGACACTGAATATACTGATTCCTTGATCTTGAGCTTTCCAGTCTACAGAACTGTGAAAAATACAGTTCTGCTATTTATAAGCCATCAAATTTGTAGTATTTAAAAAAAAAAAAAGCATAAATGCTTTCTAATCCCAAAAGTCAGCTGATGACCTTAAAGTAGAGAGAATTTTTCCCATATTTAAAATTTAGTTTCAGGCTTATACATTACCTTCTGTTTTAAAATTAGTTATCAACATCCTTTTAAAATAAATGCACACATAAGATTAATAGAACAGAGTAATAAAGACAAAAATACTGGTATAGAATGCTTAATGTACCCCTAAGACATTTCTGTAATAGATATATTAATCTGCAAACTGTCCCTTTGCTTTCTTCTTTACCTTCCTGTCTATCCACACCCCTTCCTTTTTTCTTACCTTTCCTTTTTGTTTTCCCTTTCCTTACCTTGGTCTCCTTATTAACAAGTACTGTATAGGTATTGATGTTTACTTTTCTTAGTAGTAGTATTCTAGAATGGTGATTTTTTGAAATGTAAGAATTAGTCATTCAACCTATTGTAAGCCAAATATTTCAATAAAAATTTAACTTTCAGCTTTAAAGTAGAATTTATTGTTTAAATTTGTACTCTAATTTCCAGGTAGGAAAAAAGTGGTTCTCATCCTTCCTTTCCATTTTAGGACCTTTCTTTTTGGTAGAGATGGAAATCCAAATAAACGGAACGTTCACAATGAAACATCTATGCATTTGTTGTGTATGGGACCTCAAATCATGATATCTGAAGGAGCCCTCCATCCTCGCTTAGCACGCCCTGTGGAAGATGATTTTAGAAGAGCAGATTGTCTACAAATGATCTTAAGGTGGAAAGGAGCAAAACTTGACCAGGGTGAATATGAGAGAGCAGCTATTGATGCTGTTGATAACAAAAAAAACACACCCCTCCACTATGCTGCTGCCTCAGGGATGAAAGCCTGTGTAGAGGTAAAACTTTGTTTTGAATGTTCTGCATTATGAAATTTGTATCTTGATAATACATAATGATCAATGTCTGTTTTACTTGTCTTAACAATATTTTAACTAGCCATTTTGTCCTTTTTGTCCTTCAAAAAGAATCAGGGCCCTTTAAACACAAAGTTGTTTCATTATCTTGGAAGGGGACTGAAAGCCCACACTTAATAGTCAATGTTTGAAATAAAATGAAGAACAATTAACAATCTGTTAACATCTAAGATAATGATCATCAGTTAAGCACTGTTATATTGAGTAATCATTTTAGTCTGATTTTTTTTTTGCTGATTTTTTTTATAGATAATTTATAAAATTTAGATCCATTGGATATGGTAATTGGACAAATGGGACCTAGAGATGTATTATCTAAAATTGATTAGTTCACTAAGCAGTGGATAAATATTAACATTATTTGTTGAAGTGTTTTAATATAATTTTTAAATGTGGGGTTTTTTAAATCTGCATTAAAGTACTTCTGAATACATACTATATTACATTTTAGTTTTTTATGTATCTCATATAAATATTTATATATTACTAATATACCTATATATAAAACATCTAACAACAGGATTAGTTGAACTAACCCATATAATCTTGGGTTTCTTAATTAAGAAATCATTACTCTATACTATCATTAATACTGTATACACAATAGTACAGATTTTTTTCAGCTATCAATATTTGTGTCAATCCATACATAACTCATAGAAGTTCTTTTCTATAGACCTATTAACTATGATTAGGGAACATTTTAATTTGGATCACGGTATTTTCATTTCCAAAAAATGTGTGCTTTTATTGGAAAAGCAGTGATCCTTATGAAATGAAAAAATATATATCTATCAAAAGAACAATGCCGGAGGTATCACGATACCCGACTTCAAACTATATTACAAAGCAATAACAATAAAAATAGCATGGTACTGGCACAAAAACAGACATGAAAACTAGTGGAACAGAATAGAGGACCCAGATATGAAGCCACACAACTATAACCAACTTGTCTTTGACAAAGGCGCTAAAAATATACGATGGAGAAAAAGCAGCCTCTTCAACAAAAACTGCTGGGAAAACTGGCTAGCAGTCTACAAAAAACTGAAACTAGATCCATGTATATCACCCTATACCAATATTAACTCAAAATGGATCAAGGATCTTAATATCAGACCACAAACTCTAAAGTTGATACAGGAAAGAGTAGGAAATATTCTGGAGTTAGTAGGTATAGGTAAGAACTTTCTCAATGGAACCCCAGCAGCACAGCAACTAAGAGATAGCATAGATAAATGGGACTTCATAAAACTAAAAAGCTTCTGCTCAACAAAAGAAATGGTCTCTAAACTGAAGAGAACACCCACAGAGTGGGACAAAATATTTGCCAGCTACACATCAGACAAAGGACTGATAACCAGAATATATAGGGAACTTAAAAAACTAAATTCTCCCAAAATTAATGAACCAATAAAGAAATGGGCAAGTGAACTAAACAGAACTTTCTCAAAAGAAGAAATTCAAATGGCCAAAAAACACATGAAAAAATGCTTAGCATCTCTAGCAATAAAGGAAATGCAAATGAAAACCACACTAAGATTCCATCTCACCCCTGTTAGAATAGCCATCATCAGCAACACCACCAACAACAGGTGTTGGCGAGGATGCGGGGGAAAAAGGAACCCTCTTACACTGCTGGTGGGAGTGTAAACTAGTACAACCACTCTGGAAAAAAATTTGGAGGCTACTTAAAAATCTAAACATTGATCTACCATATGATCCAGCAATACCACTCTTGGGGATATACCCAAAAGACTGTGACACAGGTTACTCCAGAGGCACCTGCACACCCATGTTTATTGTGGCACTATTCACAATAGCCAAGTTATGGAAACAGCCAAGATGCCCCACTACTGACGAATGGATTAAGAAAATGTGGTATTTATACACAGTGGAATTTTATGCAGCCACGAAGAAGAACGAAATGTTATCATTCGCTGGTAAATGGATGGAATTGGAGAACATCATTCTGAGTGAGGTTAGCCTGGCCCAAAAGAACAAAAATCGTATGTTCTCCCTCATATGCAGATGTTAGATCAAGGGCAAACACAACAAGGGAATTGGACTTTGATCCCATGATAAAGCAAGAGCACACAAAGGAGGTATGAGGATAGGTAAGACACCTAAAAAACTAGATAGCATTTGTTGCCCTCAACGCAGAGAAACTAAAGCAGATACTTTAAAGCAACTGAGGCCAATAGGAGAAGGGGACCAGGAACTAGAGAAAAGGTTAGTTTCAGAAGAATTAACTTAGAAGGTAACACATGCGCACAGGAAATCAATGCGAGTCAACTCCTTGTATAGCTATCCTTATCTCAATTAGCAAAAACCCTTGGTCCTTCCTATTATTGCTTATACTCTCTCTTCAACAATATAAGAGATAAGGGCAAAATAGTTTCTGCCGAGTAGCGATTGGGTAGGGGGCGAGAGGGAGGGGGCCGGGAGGTGGGGGTAAGGGAGGGGTTGAGGGAAGGGGGCAGAAATGACCCAAACATTGTATGCACATATGAAGAAAATAAAAATTTAATAAAATATCTAAAACTTTATTATGTAATGTTTCTTAAATATTTTTCTACTTCTAAATCAATGTATCATTTTTTTTAACATTTAAAGATTATAACTGCTTATGATTTCATTAGTATATCTCAAGTGTCAATTCTTTTTACTTTAGAACTCTTGTGATCTTGTCTTTTGTTTACTGCCATTATTTATGATACTTGTTAGAATCTTTTAGAATCGTCATTTCATTTCTTGTATTTGTGTGGCCTTTGCCTACTAATTAATGAGTGACAATCATTAACTTGAAGCTGTTTTTCCAAACAATGCATTCTAACACTGTTTCAGTATAGTGGAAGGATGTCTTTGGATTTGGGGGCAGGAGGAGTACTAATAGTAGAATTCCTAAGACTTTCTACACAAGCTTTTCTGGATATTGTCTTTTGCTTACTTCCTCTAGAGGAATCCCTGATAATAGTGACCCACCATTATTGATGCAGACTGCATCATATTTCTCAAGTGGGTTAGGGTAGAAAATAGCTTATTCTTGATAATAGTAATAATGCTGTTAAATTGCTGTTTAACATCTTCCAAAATTTCTCAATATGCATTGCTTTAGTAAGCATTGATTTTGAAATATATTTACATTGTTGTCTTATTAAATTGTTCAAAAATTTGAGTGCTGTATTTTTAGCAGCATTACTTTGTCTTCACTAAGGCAAATTGGTGCCAGGTTTATTCTTTACTGCCTGGAAGGCCTGATGATTTGCCTGATATGTATGAGTTTTATTTGTTACAACTGCTTGAGCTAACTGCAAATCACATTATGTAAGCCATTATTTGATCATTGTTTTCACTTTTCTGTATTCACAGGAACTCTTTGACTTAATGTAAAACCTTCTCAATGAACCTCATGAATACCTTACATTTATTTTAGTACAAATTTCAGGATATTGTTTTATACATTTAAGTTTAATCTCTCTTACTTGACTATACTTATGCCCAGTTTTAGGCCTATAATGACCTTTGATTATGTTTATTGTTATTTAAACTAGAAATGCTTCCCAGGGAAAGGTATTACTGTTTTCTAGTATAAATCCATAAGATAAATACATCGTAATATACAGCCCACTATATAACTGCACTTCCTAGACTATTAGTTATCTGGTATATTCAGATGATATCATACTTCTTTGATAAACAAGGAAGAGCTTAGATTTCTGTTGTAGAATTTACAATCATGATACACCCAAAGCCTGTGGCCTATGCCTGTAATTCTAGCTACTCAGGAAACAGATATCAGGAAGATTATGGTTAAAAAACATGCTGGGCAAATAGTTTCCAAGATCCTATCTGAAAAAATACTCAACCAAAAAACGGCTGGTGGGGTGGCTCAAATGGTAGAGTGCCTGCTCTAACAAGCATGAGGCCCTGAATTCAAACCCCAGTACCAATGGATAGATAGATAGATAGATAGATAGATAGATGATAGATTAAACAAAATTTACTATCATGGGTAATTTAAATATGTTTTTCTAAACTTTTCTACATCATTGTTTTTGGTATTTGGCTATAAGAATAATAGTGATAATAAATACCATTTCTGTAATACTTTTCAGTTTTCATAGCGTTCATTGATACCAAGCATGACATAAAGGTTAAAATTGAAAAAAACAAAAATCACTAGATACTTTTTTTTTTTCATAAAACTAAGAGATTGACTTATTGTGAAAAGAGCATTAGTGTCTAGTGTTGGTCTTCATAGCGACTATCTATAGAATCTTGGGTAAATCGTATAGCCTCTGTGATAGTTTCCTTCTGAATGGTTTGGATATACAATCTCAATATCATCTCAAGTGACCCCTTTTATCACTTAATTTTCTATGAATCTGTGATTGTAGTAAAATAGGTCTCTTTTTCAGTCTAGCCATTACGATTAAGGAGTTTTTTTCAAAGGTTAAGGCCAGCCTGCTTTTTAGCTCTCATTTTTATGGAAATATATCTTCTTTGTTGTAGAATTTTTTTTCTTTGTATGCTTATTTAAGGCTAGAATTGATACATTTCATAAATGCATAATCTCATAAGAGCATTTAATAACTTAAACAGTGTCCTGTGCCTCATTATTTTGAACTGTAGAAATGAAATACTCATTTTAAAACTCCTCCCTATTATTGTTTTTTTTATAATAATATACACACACACATACACATGTACAACATAAATTAAAACCTTTTAATCATAACATTCTTCTAGAACCTCTAGGTGTGGACTTGTTTTTGGTTACGTATAGAATTGCATTGGCATCTGCCTCTCTGATATCTAGCCCTGACTTCTCTGAAGTTGCTAGTGCTAATTGATGCCTAGTTGATTTCCTCACATGAATATTTCATCAGTCTTAAATTTGGCATTTCTGAAATTTTCAT